TTTTCCCTTGTTGAGCCTCCCCCCCCCCCGCCACACAAGTAAGATAACCACTAAGGACTTGATTGATGCACTGTATTCTGCCGACTGTAACTGGAAAGGGTTAATTAAGAGAGGAGAGGCCAAAAGCCTTGATTTGGTTTAGGTAGGTGTTGCATTGACACCCTTCAGCTTTTGACCAAAGCTTTAGTTCAGCCTTTCCCCCAGCTGTCTTCCAGATATATTAGGACTATAGCAAGCATATCTGGCAGCTACCAGATTGGGGAGGTTGTTTTAGATATTTTAATACAGCTTTTTATGTATGACCTTTTTTGGTCTTTGCTTTTATGGAGATGACAAGGTGCTCCTTGAGTAGATTTATTCAAGAATGCTTCAGATTTGCATCTATTATGGAAATTTTGTAGCATCATGTAACTTAACATTATAGCATTGGGCAGCTTCCCCCTTGGGATTGCATATGATAAGCAGTCATGACAGCTGTGTTTGTGAAGGACGAAGGATCTCCTTTGCCGTATCAGAATATTCTTGATATGCCAGCTTTATTTTAGAAGAGCTGGACTGGCTGGAGTGGACTGGAGAAATAATGTCAGGCTCCAGGACAGAACTGACAGTAGCCACCCAGATATTAGACATGGCAAGGCTAAATAAGGATCTTTACTGGATTCAAGTATGAAGCCATTCAAACCATTTGATTGCCCCTGGTCATCATGAGAGTGAGTCTCTTTTTATATCGCTCGTAGTTCAAATCCATCACTTCTTTTTCCTGCTGCTTCTGCACCTTAACACATACCTTGCTTTTATGTTTCTCAGCCTTAATACTAGGTAGCAGCTGATTGTTACCTTGAGAAACTTTGGCTTCCAGCTTATCTCCCATAGGTAGGAGGCTACAAGCTGTGGATGTTGTCTTATAAAAGATGGGGAAACGATGGCCACCTGAAAGTGAGCCAACAGTTCCTACCATCCTAATCCAGTTGGTGGCACCCCATAGCAGCTGAGAGCCCAGGATCTCCCGGATACTTCTGACCAAAGGCTGAAGCAAATCACCCAAACTTAAGAATCATGGGATCCAGAACTGCTAAAGCAGCGTTGCTCAGCTTTGAAGTGGAACCAGTGTGGCACATTCAACCTTTTTCAGCTGCTGTTGGGAGAGCTATGGATGTGACTGGTTGGAACAATGAGCACTCTTCCTTATCTCAGCTTTTAATAATGGCATGTCTGATAGCAGTCTCTTCCCCATCTTGCTTCGCTATATTTCCTCCAGTAGGAGGTTGTAACAATGGAAGTGAATGGGGCACTTCCTCCTTAGTAGTAGAAGTGAACAGGGCAAGTAGTATGGCACCCAGGAGTGGCTTCTCATGATTATCAACAGTGATTTCCTAATGGCGCAGTTTCTTCTTTTCCTTTAAGAAATCACTGGACGTGCAGTGCTTGTCCTGTCAGGTATTCAGGAGATTGTCAAACCTCAGTATGCTTCGTAAGGGACCCCTTGTCCATCCTCTATATTCCTTGGGATCTGGTCTGAATCTGCTTACCAGTCAATGCCACACAGTTAGTTTGTAGCTGGATGTGAGTTGAGCCAAAACAACATGCAGAGGATGGAGTCCCTGGTTGGATTTCCACTAAATCATAGGTTTATATTCAGCTGATACTTTAGACCATAGATGGATGTATTGCACAATGAAATAGTTTTTTTAAAAAAAGTCTCCCTGAATATACAGGTCGTCTACACTTAACAACAGTAATTGGGACCAAGATTTCCATTGCAAAATGATGTGGTTGTAAAGCGTGATGCCATGTGGCTGTGCCACTTAGCGATAGAAATTCCAGCATTTCCGGTTGCTGCTGTTAAGTAAGGACATCATGTGGTCACCATTTGCAAACTCCTGCTGGCTTTTCCCCACTGACTTTGCTTGCAGGAAGGCAGCAAAGTAGGTCGCAAATTATGATCACATGACCACGGAATGCTACGATGTCATAATTGCAAGCCAGGCCCCAACCACCTCTATTGCAATCATGTGACTGTGAGGTGTTGTGACCGATGTAAGTACGAGGACCAATCATAACTACCACTCATTCAGCACCGTCGTAAGTTTGAAGGTCGCTGAATGAGCAGTCATTAAGCAGAAGCTATAGAGAGTCATATGATGGGAAGATGGTTTCTAATTAGCTATTTATCCTGATATGCTAATTTTTTAAGTGTTGAGAAATTGGAGAAAGGAAGCAGCGTTTAGACACAAGGCTCCTACTCTGCAGCTTTGCAAAAGTGATCATGATTCCCTTTCATTTCCTTTTTTTTAATAAAGCGATTGCATTTTAATTTTATAAAGAGATAATTGCATTTTAATTAATTTTTTTTTTTTTTTTTATAAAGAGATGATTGCACCTTTGACAAACTGGAAGTATTTTGCAGAGTTGCTTTTCAACCCATACCTGTGTTCCTATGATGGTCTGACGTAGGAGGGTGGTAGTGAAGAGAATGGAAGAAAGTTGTGGGGCACCAGGAGAGGCAGAAACACAGAGAATTTGCGTGTTTGAGAGAGAGGAGGGGGGCCCTTGCGATAAGGGATAGCCGTGGAAAAGAACTGATGTTGCCTTTTGGAGTGTTCAGAGGCAGGATGTTTTCTTTGTTTCTTCCTCTGCCAAGCTGAGATCGTAGCAGACACACTTTGCATTTTGGAAAGGGGGGATAAAGAGACAAAATTAAGCTAAAAAGGTATTTCTTTCCAAAGGAACATAAAACAGCTGTTGGATAACCTTCTTAAAAATGAGCTTTTTCACGACTGTCACAAATGATCAGTGTCACCTCTGTCGTGCTGGCAGAGCTGATGAGCCACTTTGCTTTCAGGGTTTTTTTTTCTTTTTTCCCCTCTACTATCTAGGAAAATCTCAGCTGCTGGGAACGTAGCTACCTCTTAGGCAACAGCAGGCCTTGGGTTTCTTCATCTTCTTAAGCCCTTTTTCATTTCGGCTTGATTAATTGGGTTCTACCCAAGTATTTAACACAGTAACCCTGAAAGACGTCAATCTGGATTTTGAAAGAACAGCCAGGGGTTGGTTGTTGTTGTTTTGGCTTTAAAGTTTAAAAGGAAAGTTAAATAACTCTGTGTGTGTGTGTGTTTCTTCCATCTCTCTCACTGACCTGCAACTCTCAGAAAAGGTGGTCTCAAACCTGATTTCTCATTTCATATTCTGGATTTAGAAAAGCAAATAATGGAGAACCAGCATTACTGCCATTAAAAGATTACATTTAACAGTGATTTTGGATAACTGAATCATCACAGTTTCTCATGTTTGTGACCTTGTGGGAAATATACTAAGCCATAACTGGCTTTTGAAGTGCAAATGTTCTTTTCTGAAAGAACATAAATGCACTTTTTAATATCTCTGCAAATGGCACATCTTGAATCCAGAGATCTGTTCAGGGGTTGGCAGATAAATTGAACCTGAAACCAGACGGTTTGGCCTCTTGCCTCTTAGAGGTGGATCTAGGAAAACCCTGGGGACGCGGGTTCAAAGAAGTTTCTTCAGGATGCAAAAAATCAGTTTCTGCAGTACAGCCTCGCTTGCACGTGATGCAAAGCATTTCTGTTTGGGATGACATTCAGAGCATCTCCACTGTCTGTCAGCTGCATTTTAGTGCCCCAAACAGATGCTTGGCCAACACCCCCAAAGCAGGATGAGGTGGCCTAAATGAAAAGACCACTTTAGGGTGTGAGGCAGAAGGACTACTACTTCTATACAGTGTCCATGTAAACAGGTAATTCCTGAAGGGAAACACCTAGCGGAGAAGTTGTAGCTCCACCTACTCCTTCTTTGCAAGTTTTCTACTTCAGGGACAAGCTGGAAGTGGTACATATTTTATCATCTCAGATCTCATTTCTTTGTGTGCAGTCTTAAGAGAAAGGAAGTTGTGATCATTCTCAGAATTGTTGAAAGAGTGTTCCAAGGGGTGTCATCTCCATGTGAATATATAT